GCGCTCGTGCTCCGACAACCAGCTGACGGCGCCCATCAGTCGCCCGCGACCGGCCTCCGTCACCCCCGAAGCCATGCGGCCGGTCACCAACGGCCCCCTACCCTACCACAAACCGCCAGACTCCAACCAACCCGCCCACTTTCAATACTACGCCGACCAGAACCCCAGAAGCAGAAGACCCATCCACATCCAGCTCCGAGGCGGCTCCAGCGACCAACCCTATCTGAGCGATTCCCAAGTCGTCATGAAGCCTCCTTACCAAAAGAATCCTTTAACGAGCGCTACCGAATTCTGGCGGCTTCGCGATCAGCAACAGCACCAACAGCAGAGCCAGCTGCAGCAACAGCAAGCCGCAGCAGCTGTCCGACAAACTCGGAAACCGGTTCTGTCGGCGGCGGCGGCAGCAGCGGCGTTGGCCAAACCTCCGCACCAAAGCGACCGCTCCCGCTCCAACAGCCCTCGCCCCGGCGACGCTCTGCGCGCGCGCGCGGCCAAACCGCGGCCCGCGGGGCTCATGCGGCCAGCGGACTCCCAGAGCTCGCTCAGTGGCGCCTCGGACGCAGCCCCGCCCCCTGGCGACTCGCTGGACAACGGCCCGCGCCCCCTGTCCATGGTGCTGGAGAACGCCGAGGCCCCGGAGCCTCTGTCGCCGAAACCCACGCCTCCAGCCCCTCCAGCGCGCCGGTTCTCGCGCCAGAGCTCCACGTCCAGCCTGGAGGCGAACGACTGGGCCGCGGACGACGACTCGCGCCGGCGCTCCACCAGCCAGCGGCGCTCCAGCAACCTGGAGGACGCGCTCAACGAGCTGGAGGCCATCTACAAGAGCCTGCGCCTCGGAGACGAGGATCTGCTGGAACGCGCCGAGCGGCGGGAGGCTCCGGCCTACAGACCGCCACCGCCGCCGCCAGAAGCGGCCTACCCGTGGAGGGCGGCGCGGTGCGGCGCCGAGTCCGACTCGGGGTTCAACTACGGCGGCGACCGCGCGCCCCGGCTGCGCAGGCCGCTCGGGGCCCCGGACCCCGTCACCGACGACATGGCCTACCGCCGGCTGCACCCCAAAGAGCGGCCCAGCTCCCAGGACGCGCGAGCTCTCGTGTCGCAGTCGGGCAGCTACCTCTTGGCGTCCCCGGCCCTGGCCCAGCAGGCGAGCGACCCGGTGCTGGCTGCCCCGCCGCCCCCGCCGCCTGCGGCCGCCGCCGACGAGCCGGACGTCACCCACGACGACGTGCTCTTCCGTAGCATCAAGCACGCCAATAACACGCTGCGCATCAGCGACCCGCAGCCGCCGTTCGGGATCCCGCTGGGCCCCGTCACCCCGGCCGCCAGCAGCGACTACCTGCACGCCACGCCCGTGGACCGGCCGCGCTCCGCCTTCAAGCCCTGCAAGATCCCCGACGTGGTGAAGGACGACCTGGCGTTCCGGGCGCTGCGCAAGGACACGCAGAAGGACCCCTCGCTGCCGCCCGCCCGCCTCGACGGCGTGGAGGCCCTGTTCCCTTCGCGCGTCGAGCCCACGGCAACCGGAAGTAACTTCTCTCTGCGCAAGAAGCGAGCCGTGCGCTCGCTCTGCGCTGTCGCGCCAAATAGTGATTGGGGCTGGTGCACCGAGAACCGCTCGTGTCCCCTGCGCCGCAGCCCGCGACGGAAGGACCTGGAGAAGACGCAGAGCCTGACGGGACCTGGCCGAACGCGGTTGGGCAGTGAGCGCAGAGAAGCATCCTGGAAGGGAAGGAGGTGATCGGGCGGCGGCCGGTGCGGCGCTGCGCCGCTAGCCGACGGCGGCGCCCGAGGGCTGGACCGCCACTACGGCCGTGGGACGCCGTCCTACCTGGGTGAGCCGCGCGCTGCCTGACCGCTCCGCTGCTGGTGCGGGGCGGCGACGGGCGCCAGCACCAGCACGGAAGAACGCTGACGGAACAGCCCGCGCCACCACACCGCGTTGGGGCGGCGCGGGGGCGGCGGCGCGGCGCGGCGGGCGGCAGCCGCGCGGGACTGGCAGCCGCGCCCGTCCGCCCGCCCGCCGCCCCCGCCGCCCCCGCCGCGCGCCTCCGCCGCCGCTACGGCCCACCACGCCGCCGCCAACCGTCCCTGCGGTATCAGAACCCGCGTTTAGACGATCTGCTGAGGCGCCCTCGCGGCGCGAGGCCAGCGCCACGAGCGAAGCGCTGGATCGGGAACTGCAGCAGCTGCGCTTGAGCCCGAGGCGGCAGTGGGAACGCCAACTGCTAACGTGGTGCTCGCCAAGCCGTGACCGCGACGCCCGCCGCCCACCCCGG